TTGGATAATAGGTTAAACAAAAGGACCCCTGAATGCCAGAAAAATACCTCGATTATATTAAATTGATGTTATAAACCTTACCTTTTAAGTGAATGCATATACTTGTTATTGGATAGCTTTGCTTGAAATATTACACTTTTCATTTGTTTGATTTGTTTTAGTTTTAGTTGTCATAGTGAGCTCACAACGCTTGGTTATGACAAAGTGAACTTCAGCTGTATTATAAAGTGATTTGCTTATTATGGACATAAAATGAAGCTATTTGGTGGAGTAATTAGCCATCAATGAGTCCTGATCATGTCATTTTTTACCATCATTTTTAGTATTGAAGATAGATACATGAGTACTTGTTTCTTTGTGTGAATACACTTAAATAGGTCCAATAGGTATTCAATTTATAGCTACTTATAGATTTCATATGAATTTTTACAGAATTTCAGTTAATGTTAATATCATTAGATATATAAAATATATTTAAATGACTTTAAAAAACTTATTCTAAAATCCCCAAGTATTTTCATTCATCTATCTTTTTTTAAAAGCTTCTCTGGTCTAATATGAAATAAAAATGTAAATTGAGGCCAGCAGGTGGCATGGTGGTTAAGGGTGCTGGATTTCCACATGACCAACCACAGTTCAAGTCCCAGACCTGGTGACTTGCTTTCTCACTTTCCCTCTCTCTCTCACTCTGTCTCTCTCTAGTCAAATTAAAGTAAATAAATAAAGAGAGATACATTTTTAAAAAAAAGATTCTTATAAAAAAAGATACAGTTAAATTTCCCTAGATTCCCCTTCTATGATCCTATTTACGTCTTTCTTTTTTTGGAAATAATTATGAGCCTAAATTTAAACATATCATCACTATTCATTGCTTTGAATGATTATTGCATCAGCAAGTATCAATAAATTATATAGTTATTTCACTTCTATTAAAATATATATGCATATATCTATCATGCAAAATGTAACTTGCTTTTTCTTGTTCAACATTGTTTTTTTAAAAAAGCAAATGCATTTCTGTTACATATTTCATATATTTTTCCCTTTAAGCATTCAAATAATTAACCAATTTGTGGAATAGCTCATCTATTCCCATAGTTTGAAAGTCAATAAGCATAAATAACTATAGAGTTAAAAGTCTTCCTCCCACCTCTGTACTTTAACCACCCAGTTTCCACCCACTTCAGTCCCTCAAAATAAGTACCCATGGTTACAAGTTTTTTTGTGTGTATCCTTCAAGAAATGATTGTAATGTAGAAAGAAATGTTCTGCATACTGTTCTGTACATTGACTTTCACTTATATTATTTTTTAATATCAGTACATAAAGAACATCCTTTCCTTTCTCAGTGTAGCATGTTTCATCTTAGGAATAAACCTTAAAATATTTAACTACAATTCTATTGATAAGCATTTAGGTTATTTCTATTTTTTAGCAATTTCAAATAATGCAGTAATACATAGTGTGTGTGTATACATGTGTATACACACATATTTATGCACATATGAGTCATATTAATCATCTATTGCTGCATAACACGTTCTGCGGGCCCAAATTCAGGCACAGGTTAGCTATATTCTTCTGCCCCCAAATTATTACAAGGTTACAGTTAAGGATTAACTAGGTCTATGTTCTCATCTGAAAGCTTGAGTGAGGGAAGATCTGCTTCCATGGTCATTCACACAATTGTTTTTAGGATTCAGTTGATTAGAAGCTGAGAACCTCAGTTCCTTCTTGGCTTTTGGTGAGAGACCTTCCTTTTGTGCCAGATAGGCCTCTCCATAGGATAGCTTACAATATGCCAACTTATTTCTTCAAGAGCAAGGATTCTGCCAGAGGAAAAGAGAGAGAAAGAGAAAAGGGAGATAGATAGATAAATAGAAGATAGGTATATAGATTGACAGACAGACAGACATAGCAGAGAGGGTGCCCCATAATGAAGTTTTCCTCAACAGGAATGTGTGAGAGTACCCATTTCTATATATGCTTCCAATACATTTTTAAAAAACATTTATTATTTATTTATTTCTTCCAGCATGAATACATTATGTATTGGTCCAGTCAAGCATCAAAAAAGTCTAACTTAATGTGTTTTCATTTGAATTTCTCTTATTATAACCAAAGTTAAGCATTTTTCCATGTTTAAGACACACTTATATTTTCTTTTTTCTTTTTGAGAGAGAGATTTTTGCAATAGGGAATGTGTGCTCACTGGAGAGAGAGAGAGACAGAAAATGAGAGATCACCCGCTGGAGACAGGGATGGCCATGCTGCAATCCCTTCTCCTCCATTCTCCTCTCAGGATCCTGGGCACATATGCATGCACACACACCTGACTTGAATCTCAAGCCACTGGGTCCAGGATTGAAACCATTGTCAACCACAAGAGAGTCCAGCGCCTTAACCACCATGCCACCTACTGATGCCAATATTATCTGTTAACTTTTCCCAATATTCTATTGAGTTATCAGATTTTGACTTACCAATATGTAGGCAAACTTTTTGTATTAATTTGATAAGTACTCTGTTAATACTGTGAACTATAAATATTTTTGTCATTTTACTATTTGCCTTTTGGCTTTCTTTATAATGTTCTTTGTCATGGAGAGTTTATTTAGCATTTTAGTTAGATTTATTGGACTTTTTCATTATAGTTAAAAATTTCACATATATTCCTCTAATTTTTTCTTTTCTTTTTTTTTTACATCTTATCTTTGATTTATTTGGAATTTATTATGACATAGCATATGAGGGATAGATCTAACATTATTTTTTTTTAGTTGTCTCAAAACTATTTGCTAACTTTTCCATTGATTTGAGATGCCACCTATAAAAATTACTAAAATTGTTTCTGTATTAATATTTGGACCTGCTTCGTAATTTCCTATTATGTTCCATTTGTTTATCTTTTTTTTTTTTTGCACCGGTACTACGTTTTCACTACTGAGACCTTATACTGTTTTTGTATCTAACTAGGCTAGTTTGTTGCTCTTCTTTTTCAGAACTTGTTGGTTTTTGTGATATCTCAGTGAGGATACAGCCATATTTATATTATTAAACCTAATAGCATAATTAGTTACAGAAATTTTATGTTTGTACATACCATAGATGAGTACATGTATGTGTATGTCTCTTTGTCATAAAAACAGAAGGTTTTTTTTTAGCAACTGTAGAGCATTCATAAAAATTGACTACATATCATAACATAAGTAGAAGCTCAATAAATACTTCCAAGTACAAAGATTTCATTAACATCTTTGACAATGATGCAATGAAACTAGTAATTAATACTAATACCAGAAAACCAAAAGCCTCTACTAACCAGCATTTAAAATTAAAAAGACTTTAAAATTTTTGACCAAAGAAAAATGATAAACCAAATGCACTTAATAATTGAAAGTCAAAAAATTAAAATAGTATATATCATAACCTATTGGATACATTTAAGGCATTTTAAACAAAAATTTAAAGTCACAAATGTCAGTAAATAGTAATAACTTAGAACGTTGAAGTAACATCTCTTCTTCCTAGAATTTTTGAATTAATGTCATCTTGTGTGTTTTTAATGTATTTCTTTTATTTGTCAAAAAATGTTGATGTGACAGTATTAGTGTTCAGACATTTATATCAGTAGCCTCTCTGTACCCAGATTGACACACATAACTTAATCTTTTTTCTGTTAACTCAGAAAGGATTTGTCACTGAAGTATCTACAATAAGCTTACTAGAATACTGGTATCTCTTACTGATTGTTCCTAGTTATTTTTCCTAGTACAAAGCATGCACATGTAGTATATAGATTTAAGTCTCCTTGTAGTTCAGAAAAGCTTTCTTCAGTTATACTTCTAGAAATTTGTTTTATTCATTATTTTAGTTTCCTTTAATAGAGTCTTCAATTACAAATTCATATTCCCTATTAACTTTATCCTCTGCATCTATTACTTTGCTTCTTATTCTTTGTAGTTATTTCTATTTCATAATACTTATTTTCTTTATTTCTATTTTTCATGGAGTATTCCACAGTTCCTTTTTCTTGTTGTTGTTGTTGGTCCCAGTTGCATTTTGATTCTTATGTGGTTTAACTAGTTTGTTTCTACTTTGATTTTGAGTTTGTGTTCTTTTTATTTTTATTATTTTTTTTGGTCTTTATTTTTGATAGCTTTGTTTTGTTTTAGGCATGATGACTATGTGAGTTATGTTGGTGTTTGGGCTTGTAACAAGAATTAAATGACAATTTAAAAGAAAATTTTTAAGGAATTGACTTAGCTAATGATCTCAATATTGGTATAACTTGAAAAGCTTCTGTGAGAAAAATGTATACACATTTCATTCTATGGATTATAAAATATTAATCTTAGCTTCATTATTTTAATATACTCACTTCTCTTCAGTGAGAATTCGAAAAATGCTGTTTTAGAAAGCATTCCTGTATTTCCTCTTATTTTCTCCTACCACTTATTTTTAAATGTATTTCTTTCATGAATGAGAAAAACAGAGACAAAGAGACAGTACTCTAAAGAAGGTCTTCATGCCATGATCCATCATGTCTCAACCAGTCTTGGATCATGAGCATTCATGTACCTGGTGTAATGTGAAAGGTCTTCCCATGTAAACCCAGAATCTTCCCACATGGATCAGCCTTGTAGAGCATGGTGTTTTATTGCTTTACCACTGTCTGCCCCCCTGAATCCCACATGGCCGATCATAGTTCAAATCCTTGTCTTGCCAGTTTTTCAAATCTTTGAAAAACCACAGCATGAGTGACTACTCAAAATCCTATCAGGTTGGGGAAATGGAAGAGAAATTATTGCAGCATGACTGCACTCTACTGTGTAGTACTTTCCCCTCTCTTTTTCTGTCTCTATGTCTCTAATAGCAAACACACATGGCCTCTGACAAAAACAAACAAACAAACAAACAAACATAGAAAACAAGTCTAGACAAAGATTTATTTTTTAAAAAGACACTGGAATTTACATTTAAGAATTTTAAACCCAGCTGTGGTGTCACGTGAGAAGGCGCAGCAGCAGGGTAGCTGATAGTGCATAGGAAGTCCAAGTTGGTTCATGGCCCAACCTAGACAGATCATACATGGTGGCATGCACCTGTTATCCTATTTAATTTGGAGGCTAAGACAGGAAAACATTGATGAAATCTTGTTAAAAACATACCCATGACTTTTTCTTCACTCACTCACCCACCATGGTCCTTCTCTCATAGGAAAATAAATATAGTTGCATTGCCATAGTTTTGATTGCTATGATAAACTCAGAATAATGTAATATTTAAAAACATACACAGTAGTTTCCACTTCTATGGGGTTATATATTAAGACCCCCAGTGGATGCCTGAAACCATAAATAGTTTAAAATCCTCTACATAATATGCTTTTCTCCTTTGCATACATACTTATGATAAAGTAAATTTAAAAATTATGCACAATAGGAGATTATTACCAGCAACTAATAATAAAATAAAACAGGGAAAGTATAAACTTTAATAAAAGTTATGTGGATGTGGTCTCTCTATCTCAGAATATCTTATTGTGCTATACTCACCCTTCTTTTGGTGGTAAAGAAGGGATGGAGTTAGGCAGCATGTGATTTTACCATTCAGAATGGTGGACAACTTAAAACTTATGAATTGTTTGTGTATAGAATTTTCCATGCAGTATGTTCAAACCATGGTTATACGTGAGTAACTGCAACTGTGGGGGGGGGGAGGAAAAAAAAAGGACAGTTAAGAAGGAACTGTATGATTTAGGTAGATAAAATTTTAAACTTACAAAGATAATAAATAATTACCTAGGCAAGAGGACATGAGAAAACTTCTCTCTATAGATCTTTATTTTAAAACATTATTTACATAATTATTTTTAAATTGACAAAATCTGGGACCAGCAGTTAGTGTAATGGCTATGTCGCTGGACTCCCACGTAGTCGGCCGTGGTTCACGTCCTGGACCTGGTGGCTTAAACTCATGCCGGGTGCATGTGCGTGGGTGCCCAAGATCCCAAGAGGAGAATGGAGGAGAAGGGATTGCGGCATGGCCATCCCCCCTGGGGGGTGTTTTCTCGCTTTCTGTCTCTCTATCTCTCTCTGTCTGTCTGGCGAGCACACGCGCCCTATAGCAAAAAAAACTCTCAAAAAAATTGACAAAATCATTTGTATTTACTATGCATATGTTGTTTTGGAATATGTATACATTACAAAATTGCTCTATCAAGCAAATTAAATATGAAATACTTCACATATTTATTGTGTGTGTGTGTGTGTGTGTGTGTGTGTTGTGAAAACACTTAAATTCTATTCTATGATGGGGCTGACAGGTGGCGTGGTGGTTAAGGGTGTTGGACTCTCACATGGTCGAGTGCAGTTTGAGCCCTGAACCGGTGGCTTGCTTTCTCACTTTCTCCCTCTCTTTCTCTCTGTCCCTATCTGGTCAAATTAAAGGAAAGAAAGAAAGGAAGAAAGAAAGAAAGAGAAAGAAAATAAAGTTTAAAATATCTACCCCCCCCAAAAAAAAAATCTGGGACCAATAATTGGCATAATGGCCCCTGGGGGGTGACTTCTCACTTTCTGTTTCTCTGTCTCTCCCTGTTTTTCTGGCGAGCACACAGGCCCTATAGCAAAAACCTCTCCAAAAATAAATATATAAATAAATTAATTAATATAAAAAAAACCTATTCTGTGATCAATTTTCAAGAAACAATACATTATTATTGACTATAGTAACCGGTAGTTTTTTTTTAAACTTATATTTTTATATGTTTTTCACAGAAGTATAGCTTTACTAATTGTAAAACATTGTAGACTTTTAGGTGACATTTTCATTTCTGTTATAGTTTAATTTCTGGTAAGCATTCTTCATATATTAAAATTTTTTGCCACTCTACAGTCACAGACTGTCTGATGTGCACACGCAATAAATTGCTTCATTGCTGCTACCACAGAAACAAACTGCTTCCTGCAATTATGGCTTGTTTCTGTGATGTATATTGAGGCTATGCTTCATTTTCACTTTCGAATTAAACGAGTCCTTGGGGGCATCTATTTCCACCTCTGGTGGTAAAGAAGAAACCTGATTGTTGCATGATGAAAACAAATTTCACTTACAGAAAGTTCATTTTTCTCCCTCTGATATCTAGTTCCAGTGAACACACTGTGATTTCTCTGCAGTGTTTCTTATTCAATTTATTCCATGAAATGCCTGTGTGAGCCTATTGACTTTGGGAAGGGCTACAAGAAATGTTGAATCTGAGTATTGTTTTTAGACAATTGATTTGCCAAAAATAGAGTTCACAGGTTTTGGTCAATAACATTTTGGTCCCACTTATTCACCTCTCCCCATGTCCATCCTCTTGTCACTGGCCCTGGGGGGTTTGGCTATGTGACTTGATGTGGTGGGCAACGAATGGGCAGAAATGATAGTCTGCCAGTTCCTGGCCTTGATCGTAACAGGCTTTGTGTCGTTGCTTTCACTATTAGTCTCTGTCATTACTACCCTGGCTAGCTTACTGGTCCAAGAAGGATGGGAGACACATGAAGCAGAACCACCTCATGTGACACAAAGACCTGCAGTGAGAAGTGGAGCTATCAGTCACCACTGCCTGCTGCAGAGCTGCACTGATGAGCCCAGCTAACCTGCAGATGTAGCTGCAATGATAACTGTGTTAAGCCACCAAGTTTTACATTTGTTATGCAGCTAATGAATGCACATGTTACTAAACAGTTCTCTTTGCTTAAAAATTTTTCCTAGAGACATGGGAAAGATGATGATTTACTCAGTCATATTGATCCTAAAACACCAGCATTTAAAAATAATCACTTTTTATTGATTTAGGTATATTTAGTTCATTTCAAAGATTGCGGCAGTTTATTTTATATTACGATTTCTTTATTCAACTTCCTCTGTGCTGAACCTTTGTAATATTTGTATTTTTTAAATTAGTATTTAAACCATCTCTGAAAAGATGAAGGCTGTAGTGACAAGCTCAGTTTTTGAATCTTCTTAAATTTTCATGTGAAATTAGAAAAAGCATCAAGTTAGCAAAACCAAATCCATTGACACTTTTCTAGAATAACTAGTTGATTAAGTGTACAGAAAAGCTCTCAAATACAGATGCATGGGAGATAAACCAGCAGTAGCCACAAGATCTGTGCATGCATCTGTGTTTGGTGGCACAGGAGGAGTATCAGGGCAGGGGAAATAGGACAAAGCAATAGGGGCATGGTTAGGTGGAAGAACACCCCAACAGCCAATAACTATTCAGTGGAACGTGCTGATAGCCAGTAATAGCACTGAACTGGGAAAGGTTTAGTATGCTTCAAATAAGAGCATGCAGTAAGAAAGAAGGAGGTAGGGACACTCTTGCCCAATATGAATTGAAATTTACCTGCTAACACTCACATCCAGGACAGGGCCCCAAGGAGTAACTGCTGGGAGTGAGATCCAGATTTAGCATGTCTTCGGTATCAGAGTACGGAAAGGATGTTCAGGTGGGACAGAAAGCAGAGCCAGGAATCTCAGGACACAAGCAAGCAGAAGAAACTACAGGAAGGGGAGCTCTATAAAGCTGTAAATACAAAGGGAGTCATTTTGAAAGTTCAGAAAAGCGAATTGCATGCAAAAATGAGCAACATGAAAATATTAAGGTTGAATTGCATATGTAAAAATAAGGAATGAAATAGCATCCACACAATAAAAAGGACTCCAGAAAATACGTGGAATTAGATAGATAAATAGATAAATAATATATAGATGATAGATACATTGTGCAATAGATGATAGTTCAATTTTATATATTTTATATATACATATAGATAGATAAATAGATAGAAAATACACAGACACAGAAAAATTAATTTCAAAACCATAGTTACTATTTCAAAATAAAGATATCAAGAAAATGAGATAAATATATGGGTGGAGCCAGCAGGTGGTGTGGTCGTGGTGATATTGGTACTGGATCCCACCTGGTCGAATCCATAGTTCACGTCTCCAGGCTCCACGACTTGAAAAACACACTGGACACATGTGTGTGCATGCCCAAAGTCTCAAGAGGAAATCCGAGAAGAGATTATAGCAAGGTCATCATCCCTGGAGGGTGGGGGTGATTTCTCACTTTGTCTCTCTCTCTCTCTCTCTGGTCAGTATACTCAACCTATGGCAAAAATCTAAAACAAGAAAAAAATAGCATGAATCTAGATTTAGAAAAACTCAGAAGTTAAATGACAGAACCCAAAACCTGATCAGATTTTATTTTTTAAAATACTCTGAATATTTTGTACCTGCAACTTAAAACATGTGTGCTAGAATCTCGCTAAGTTATATGCTTCAAAGTGTAATTACTTCATCAAGGTACATAGACATCTTTGAATTTGCTAAATATTGCCAAATTATCTTATGTATTTCTGCTAGTCTGCATTCACACTATTTTAAGAGAATCAACAGTTTTACATGTATTTACCCCCATTTAATGTCAAACTGTCTCAGTTTTGTCAATTTAGTCAGCGTGAAACAGTATGAAAATATTATTTAAACTTTTATCTCTGTGATTACTAGTGAAATTTAACTTTTTTTCATTTTTTATATATATATATATACACATATATATATATAGTAGAGTGACCAAATCAGGCTAATTACCATATCCATCACTTAAACTACTTTTTTTTTTTTTTTTTTTTTTGTGGTGAGAACATTTAAAAGATACCATATAATGGGACCAGTAGTTGGTGTGATGGCTATGTCACTGGACTCCCATGTAGTCAACCACAATTTGAGTCCTGAAACTGGTGGCTTCAACTCACGCCAGGCACATGTGCATGTGTGCCCAAGATCCCAAGAGGAGAATGGAGGAGAAGGGATTGTGGCGTGGCCATCCCCCCTGGGGGTGATTTCTTGCTTTCTGTCTCTCTGTCTCTCTCGGCCTTTCTGGTGAGCACACACGCCCTATAGAAAAAAAAATTCTCTCCAGAGAATAAAAAGGTTACCATATATTTATATAATTTTATGATATTTTCTGTGAATTACCTGCTTATATCCTTTATTTTCTCTTTTTTTGGTTTTGTTTTTTCAAATAACACGTAATAATTTTCTGAGTTATTCTGAAAAACAGTATTATATGCATTTTTAGTATCTTTACAAGTATAAAAATACATATTTTTAGTTTATAGTCTCTCTTTCTGAAACAAAGCTTGTCATTTTAACATGGAATACTTTAACAAGGTTTCATATATATTCCGTGTTATTATTTTTTGTGTTTTTGTTCTTCCTATCCAATAAAAACAATAAATGCCCCACGCTTTTTTTTAATCATTTTTTAAAAACTTTGTTCTTATGTTTAAATCTATAATTTATGAGGCATGGACTTTAAGTGTAATGTTAGTTATGGTTCTAATTTATTTTTGTTATGTTAGTAATTACATAGAAACCAATTTTTCACTAATTCAGCTACAACTGGCACCCTTGTGCACAGCCTGTGTTCTCTATGGCAGCACCCAGGCATGGGGAACTGGGGTGGAGAATGTTCATTTCTGAATTCACTAGCCAAAACAAAATTGTACTCCTGAGGAATTTTAAGTAGGAGTTCTATTTTCCTATGAGTGTTATCAAACATTAATTTTTGCCAATTTGATGAGTGTTATTGTGCAAATAGTCATTTTTTAAAAGAATTATTTTATTTGAATTTATTTATTTATTTTAATTGGACCAGAGAGGGACAGACAGAGTGAGAGAGAGATTGGAGAAGTGAGAAAGCAAGCTGCCAGGTCTGGGACTTGAACTGTGGTTGGCCATGTGGGAATCCAGTGCGCTTAACTATTGCATCACCTGCAGGCCCCGGCATATAGTCATTTTTAAATTTAATTTTGTATTTATTATTTTTTGTTTAGATTCCATCATTGTACATCTCTGTAGCACACAATATGGTTTTCAACATATACTTGTGATACATGACAGTCAAATCAAGGATAATATCACAAATATAATTTTTTTTAAAAAGATTATTTATGTTGATTTTATTTATTATTATTATTATTTTAATTTGACTAGAGAAAAACAGAAAGAGAGAGAGACTGAGAAAGCAAGCCACCAAGTCCAGGACTTGAACTGTGGTTGGCCATGTGGGAGTCCAGCACTTTAACTACCATGCCACCTGCTGGCCCCATGTATACATCATTTTTAACAGAGAACTTAACATTCCTTTATAGATTCTTTTTTTTTTTTTGAAAGGTTTTTGCTATAGTGCGCATTCACTTGCCAGAAAGACAGAAAGAGACAGAAAGTGAGAAATCACCCCCCGGGGGGATGGCCACACCACCATCCCTTCTCCTCCATTCTCCTCTTGGGATCTTGGGCACACATGCACACGCACCCAGCGTGAGTTTAAGCTACTGGGTCCGGGACTCGAACCACGGTCAACTACATGGGAGTCCAGTGACATAGCCATTAAACCAACTACTGGTCCCACATTCCTTTATCAATTAGATGTTCCTTCCCTCTGCTCCTCCCACCCACCCTCTCCCATCTACTTCCCTCCCTTAAAGTCTCTATTATCTACATTATCCTCCCTTCTATCATATATTAAGATCATTTAATTTCTGGCATAGAGTGCAAACATTCAGTATATATTGAGCAGAGCTATACAGATTCTAGCTTATTACACTTAGCATTAAATCTTCTGTATTCATCCACTTTGAATCAAATGATAGGGTCTAATTTTTTCTTATGGCTTAGTAGTATTCCATAGTATATGTATGTCACAGATTTTCAATCCAGTCATCAGTTCATAGACACTTAGGTTGGTTTCATGTCTTAACAATTGTGAATAATGTTGCAATAAACATGGACATTGAGATATCTCTCCAACTGTGTATTTTTCTGTCCTTTGGACAAATATCAAAGAGTAGGATTACTAGGTCATCTGGCAATTCTACTTGTAAGTTTTTGAGGAATCTTCATATTGTTTTCTACAATGTTTGTACTAATTTACATTCCTGCCAATAGTGTAGGAGAGTATCCTTTTCACCACTGCCTTGCCAGCACTTGTCATTCTTTTTATTTAATCATAGCCATTCTCACTAGGCTTAAATGGTATCTCATTGTAGTTTTGACTTGCACTTTTCTTATAAGTGAGGTTGTATGTATGTCAGATGCATCTTGCTATTTACATTTCTTCCTTGGAGTGTTGTCTGTTCAGTTCATTGGTCCATATTTAAAAGTGGATTATTAGTTTTTTTATGGTTGAATTACTTGAGTTTCCTATATATTCTGGTTTTAAATCCCTTGTCTGAGGCATAGTTGCAAATATTTTCTTCCATTCTGAGGGTTGTCTCTTCACCCTAGTTCTTTTGTCCTTTGCTCTGCAGAAGCCTTTTAGTTTGATGTAATTCCAATCTTTTTAAATTTTAATTTGTTTCCTTGAGATACACAATTACTTTTTCAAAGTAGACAGTCCATTATCTCAGTTTATGTAAATTTGTGAGCCCAAGCTTATTTATTTCAGATAGGCAAGCATCTCCAAAAATGTATCACATAATTATTCTCTTCCTCATTATTATCTTGTATGAAAGATAGTACAAAGCGTCTTCTGAGAGTTCATGGAAAATGCCTATTATGAAAAAGGTGCTTGAATTTTCTTTTTGCATTAAAATAAAGTTGTACTTTAACTCAATTTTCCATGAAATTTTTGAAGTCCCCTTATATTTTTAAAGGTGATAAGGAAAGTGAATTTATAACTATTTACTTGAATTTTCTTATCCCATGCATTACATATTTTTAATATTATTAATATCTTTCACCTATATGAGCACTTGACAATTTTAGAGTTCTAACAATGCATTTCAAAAAGCATTTAAACCTCACATTAGAGTTTCCCATAACTACACACAATAAAAGAAGTACAATGTTCTTTTTTTGTGCCTACGAGTCTCTCAGTTTCTTAGTTACCTATTATGTTCTGTTTCATCAAAAACACTTGCATATTTATATCAACATTCTGTTTACCGCTTAGATTATTCATGCCTGAGTAAAGTGTCAGCTGCAGAAATAGGAGATTTAATGAGTTTCATGGGAATACTTCATTCCAAGAACAAAAACTGGAAAAGGAATAAAACGCAAGTGCCTGCATGCTAATATGGCCCCTTGTTAGAACTGTTCTCAGGAGCATAAGATGATAGATAGTCCCTACACAATATACAACTCCCTTACAGGGGCCTTTACTTTCAATTTGGTTTTCTTTGTATAAGCCAATCTCCCACAGACTCAGCACTAATGCTTAATACATATACCACAAATGCCCTAAGGGAAAGGTTGCCATTACTCTCTCCTGAATACTACATTACTCTGCACCTGCTCAGGTTTTTTTTTTAGACTATTACTTTGTTCTGCTAATTTTTATCGTTATTTTTTAGAGAACCATTATTGTTTGTAATAGAAATAGGATGACATAAAAGTAAACAGTTAACTTATTATCATTCTACACATTCAATCTTTTTCTTTGAAAGAGAGCCTTAAATTACCTTGGTGGAGATAATGCATTATAAAGCATCTTCTTTACATATTTAATATATG